GGTAACATTTAAAGCTAAAACCTAATCTGCTTATGCGCTGTCTTACCTGGTTCCTCCCTCCACACCCCTATCAACATGCCAATTACATTTTTAAATATAGACCCAATGACGCCCATCACTGGGTCCCTGTAAGGCAGGCAGATCATGGCTGGTGGGAGGGGCCATCCGGGAGCTTCCTGAAAACCACACAGCACGGCATGCAGTACCTTTTCTAAGCGCACTGCAGTGAGACGCAGTTCAAGTGTCTCACGTTGCGGTGAGCCCATAGATCGAGCTCATTGGCACTGTACGGGCACATGCACACCAGCAGCCGTGTGGTTGAGCAAGCCCTCAGTAAGTTGGCAACCATTGTTGCAATCATAGGTTGGGCAGCACATACACTCATACAACACCTGATATAGTCTTGCCACCTTTTTTTCAAGCGAAACCCGAACATTCTAGCGAGGTGCTGACATTTTTTTGGGAGAATGAGTCACGGCTTATTCACATGTAAATAGTGCCACCCATTCATATGTAAATATCACAGTCAAGACTATTTTCAGTGGGGAGCCAGTATCCCTAGCTTTATTTTGGTTGCCCCCTCCCCCCACACCCCCTCTGCCGGTCATGCTGTTTCCGGGTTTCTGTTGCCATGAAACCCAGACACAGCATTCAAAACCCAGACTGTTTGGGTCAATTCTGGACAGGTGGCAAACCTAGCCTGATATTGCATAAATGCAATAGGACACCAGACATGGTTGCCAGAAGGTGGGGTGTCATTCAGAATGACCTAGCACCAGCATACCTAGCATACACTGTTATTGTGCTGTGAGATAGCATTATGCTAAAGGCACAATTTTGTGCATGCTATGTTGTGAATGGGCCCTTACTTCACTTGGTTTGCTGAGTGGACAGCCTCTATTGCTTTAGTAAATCAACCCCTCTGTATAAAGTAAACATGAGGAAGCAAAAGATTGCTAACGACATTGTTTTTCCTTAAAGAAAGGAAAGAAACTTTCAGCTGCGATGAGACCCAGCAATCCTTCCTGGAACAGGCACGTAAAGTAGTGATGAAACGAAACACAAGACATAATGAAATATCAACAGACCTGCTATATCCATTATAGGGTGCAGAAAGAAGGCTTTGCATTGTGATCTCAAATATCACACGGCACGGCACATGCTACCTTACAAGAAATCCACTTCAATTCTGCACAGATGTTCTCCTAAATTGTCAAGGGAAAATCAATGATCTTTTCAACAGAAGGATTTTGTTCTCGAGATGGTCAGCGGTTTTCTTTTTAGAAGTGCCATCATTTCTTTATCACTTCTCCAGCTGTGTCTCTTCTTTTCTAATTTATCACAGCCAAAGTCAAGTTTAAGCTACTGGTAAAACCTCTTAAGGAAAACCTCACTCATGACCTCAAGCTGCAACCAGCATACTGGGGACTCCAAGAGGAAATTTTCTTTTCAAAAATCCATGACCCAATAACATACCAGCTCCTTACGGTCAATCAGTCATGATGATTCAGAGGTGGGGACAGGCTGAGACACCACTCACTCTCCATGATCCTGAAGCGGAGCACATACAGATAAATTTATTCCGGGTGTCAGGTTTAGGAGATCAGATCATTTGCATGATAGCAGCCTCCCCACCCAAATTCAAAAACGGTAACATAACGGTTAAATGGAAACTGGTTATAGTAGAGAAATAGCTCTGCAGATTAGTTACATACATTGCAAAGATTTAAAGGATCCACTCACACTATGCATTGTGTTAATGCACGGGCTTTCATTCCTTGAAGTGGACCTTCCATTAAAATGGTCTGCTTTACTCACCTCCCAAAATACAAATGGTTCCCAAAAGCCTCTGAAAAATAGCATTTGTTTTTGGGCGGTGGAGGGCTACGAGTTGAACAGACCTTCCATTTTCATGAAAGATTCAAATTTAAACAGCTAAAAGCCTTTCCCTTGCCAGGATGCAGAAGAAATGCTCTGAGTTGGGAGAAAAAAAAAAAAAAAGGGGGGAAGAAGGATAGATAGGTACAAAAAGGTCCAGAGTTCTACAATCAGCATGGGGCATAAGCTCTGCTATCTGTATTGACTTATAGGTCTGACTCAGCAGGGGGTGTGTAGACCTCTGGAGAAAGATTACTACTTCCACAGTGAGCAAGAGTCCTTTTAATACTGGCAGAAGTCAGGTTTGGCTAGAAACTGCTGCTTGCTGAAAAACCTAACTGTAAGGATGCCTTTTGCTGATGCCCCAGGAATGAATACAGTGGAGTAAGGGCTTGTTCACACCATGTCTGGATCATGTCTAGACCAGAACTGTTTGTTCCCGGACCAAAAAAGCATCCCAATGTATTCCTATGGTATTTCTGGACTCTGTTCACACCAGCGCAGTCTGTTCTGGTCCAGACAATAAAAATAATAATAAATATAAATATATATATA